CCCCAAAACCCCAAAACCCCAAAACCCCTAAATTTGAAATCGAATTAGATTTGGGAATGTTTTAAATAAGATTAACTTAGACTAATTGATCGGTTAGAATGCTTTCAACGTTGAACTCTTGTCTTGACAAATGGAGAATCATTCATAATACCATGACTAGAGAACACACTCTCAAGTGAGGATTTAACATCATCGTCAAGCTTTCTAAGATTGTATCTAGTTACGCATTCAGCGTGCACTATACCGTATAGTTCTTTGGTATGCTTAAATTCCCTGAAGTAATGACTTGACTTTGCTAGGTTTATGAGCTCATAGTTATTTGCTTCTTTGATGTTTGCTTTGATTATATCAGCAATGTCTGCAATAAAGTTATCGCTTTGCAACTTCAATGAAGCTATCGCAATCGATATGTTAGCAGCTTCAGTGATATTTAAATCTGTATTTTGCCATCTTCTATTAGAGTTGAAAATCTTGATCAAATCCTTGGCAATAACTCTGATGTGTCCACCAACCATATAAGCCTTCTTTTTCTCTTCATCGGCATCAGCGGGGATATCCTCCTTCATTGTGACATTCTATTTTACTCCAAAGCAAGTGATTGATAGCCAGAGATTGTTGTATGTTGTGATATCTGGAATTAGTTCATTGATAAGCATTTATGTCTGCCCTGGTTTAGCAACTCTAAAACTTTCTTGATTGATGCCTGCCTAAAGTCTTTGATGCAACTCAGAGGAGTAGTCATTGAAGTACTTGATCTTTTCAGGGAAGAGCATTGCTGTTGAGTTGACTAATTACGCTAGGAAGTAAATGTTTAATTTTTCGAGATGCTTTAAGGCATACCCGTGCATGATTTCAAATAATTTCTCATTTTTGTATCTCAAATCAGATAGTGCCATTCTATATTTATAAAGATAAGCTAGATTGATAATTACATGATGTTGACAATCTCAGAGATAGCTCCATCCTCATAAAATAGTTTCTGCTTATGCTTGTTAATAATGTCATTAGCCACTTTATCAAGCATTTCTCCATTATCAATAAATGCCCTACCCCATGACATCAGCAATACGCTAGCCTGAAGTATGTCCATTCTATCAAGCATATTGTCCACTAAATCATATTAATTTTCATCTAGAATACATACGGTAAGTGTTAGAAATCTTCTCAATGGTTTCCTGAGCCAGCTAGTTCATGTCTTCGTTGAAGAAGCAAGACAGAGAGAAGGCGAGAGTTGGAATGTTGTTGTAGGCGTACTCTGGGATCTATATCTGATTCAAATGAGAGAGGATTCTTAGTTTCTGCTCTGGCTCAATCTAAGCATTGTACCCAGAGACTGCGATGCCCAATCCCCATACTGTTGTGATAAAGTACTCAAACTCTAAGTCCTAGAGTCTCCCCATGATCATCTGAAGCAATGTCGTGAATCTCAAGTCTTGAGTGAGCAGTCTATGTCCATCCTCTGGCATCATCTTCTAGATGTTCTTGATTACAAAGTAAAAGATTAGACAGAGTTCTTCACCGTATATTGCATCACGAGCACCTCTAAGGTACCCGTTCTCATATAATTACAAGCACTGCTCTGATGTTTCAAACTGTAAATCATTAATAATCACAATATGCTTACCTTCATGAGTTGAAGAGAGAGATTTTTGGCAGCACTGTCCTTATCCTTGACATCTGCATCTTGAAGGTCATCAAACTCGCTTGCTTAAGGCTCAGCATATTATTCATATTGCTTTGTCTATGAAGCTGCATCGGCTTCATTGTTTGTTTAGCTTGATGGCTTGGTGAAGACATTTTATTTGTGGTTTCCACTTGAGGGAGTGTTATTGCTGCTGGCTGAGAAGTATCTCATTTGGCTTTAGATTTGGAAGTATTTTTATGAGTAAAATACTGATCCCATCTTGTAATGAGAGAGGGAGTGGAAGCGAGATGTAGAAGACTTGTGGAATCTACTTAATAATTTAGCTATTGTCGCTGATTTCTGCATTTTTAATTAATAATTTTACCCACACAATAAATACTATTTTAGTAGTTATTTTTATTGATGGGGTTTTGGGGTTTTGGGGTTTTGGGG